GGGGGAGGGGGAGGGGGAGGGGAAGGAAGCGACAAAACAATCGCGAAGAAATGTGACAGGCAAACAAACAGGCAACAAAAGAGTTGCATAAGGCCCACAGAAGAGAAGGTTCCGAAAGAGAGGATCAAAGAGGGGAGGGTCAGGAAAGGCAGAAGGCAGGGGTGATAGAAGCATAGCAGGAACGCCACAAGGGGACCATAAAAGTGTTCCAAAACCACCACAAAATGGAGCGTCACAAAATGGAGGGTCTCAAACCTCCCTTGCAGATATATATATTCTGGGAGTCTCAAAACACTCACAAAACCAAAAAAAAAGGATCAGAAAATGACCAGAACATCCGATAACAAAGTTAAACAAACCTTACAGTTTCTAAGACCATTCTCTAAGCTCTTACGCTGTTTTTGTCAGCCGTCATCGCCACAAGGCCCCTTCAACAATCCACCGAAGAGCTGTGGCCTCTGGACAACTCTTTCGTGTAATGAATTTTTGGACATATGGAGCATTATGGACTTGCCCTCCATTGCAAAAAATCATGAAAATTTTAAACAGAAGTTGACACAATGGCACCCAGAAGTCACAAAAAGTCACATGAGGCAGGAAGGCAAAGAGGGAGGAGCACGGGAGGGAGGGAGCGAGGGAGCGAGGAAGCGAGGGAGTGATGGAGGGAGGGACGGAGGGAGGGAGGGAAGGACGGGGAGGATCAAGGGAATTAGTTAGACAAGGAGGCAGTGGGGCAGGACTAGGGTCAACACAGTGACAGAGGTAGAAGAAGAACGGGAAGAAGGAACATGGAAAGGAAGGGAGGAAGGAAGGAAAAGGGAGGGGAATCTACTTTTGAACTTTGAAGTAAACGTTTATCCCCCTTATTTTCATTTGTTTCTGGTTTGAAGTCTTAATATATTAGTGGCCATGATTGGAGGTGTAGTGTTAACCTACCAACTTTACTATGAAAAGACTACTCAAGTATAACGACAAGATGCTTTCCAGGCAACCAATCAAGCAAGACAGACAGACAGACAGACAGACAGAAAGAAAGAAAGAAAGAGAGAAAGAGAGAAAGAGAGAAAGGCAAGCAAGCAAGCAAGCAAGACAGACAGACAGACAGACAGACAGACAGACAGACAGGCAGGCAGGCAGGCAGGCAGGCAGACGGACGGACGGACGGACGGACGGACGGACGGACGGACAGACAGACAGACAGACAGACAGACAGACAGAAAGAAAGAAAGCAAGCAAGAAAGAAAGAAAGAAAGACAGCAAGAAAGAAAGAAAGAAAGAAAGAAAGACAAGCAAGCAAGCAAGCAAGACAGACAGACAGACAGACAGACAGAAAGACAGAAAGACAGAAAGACAGAAAGAAACAAAGAAACAAAGAAAGGAAGAAAGGAAGAAAGGAAGAAAGAAAGAAAGAAAGAAAGAAAGAAAGAAAGAACGAAAGAACGAAAGAACGAAAGAAACAAAAGAACGAAAGAACGAACGAACGAACGAACGAACAAACGAAAGAAAGAACGAAAGAACGAAAGAAAGAAAGAAAGAAAGAAAGAAAGAAAGAAAGAAAGAAAGAAAGAAAGAAGGTTCGATGAACTCACAATGATACAACGAGGTTGAAATCCATGTGGAATGAACGCGACTCGACATATTGTGTCACTGTAGAGACTGCACAGCAACAGCCAATAGCCAATAGCAATTACAGACCAGTAAGTAAAACACACCTCGACACAGCCGATAATTGTAAGAACGTAAGTACGCATCATAGAAATCTTGGACTGCAGTGACTCGCGGCACTGTCTGCACGGGACCATCTGCACGCCACAGAAGACCCATACCCAGCACTTCTACACAGAAGACCCATACCCAAGTTCTATACTGAAACTCTACAGTTCCACTCCACATACCACACACCAGCACAGCACATGATCATCAGCAGACGCACATTGTTCAAATCCTGAACCTAGAATGACTCGCTGCACCCCATGCGCGCGCGCCATAGAACGCCTATATCCCCGACACCTTGGCAGCAGAATTCCATAAAAACTCTACAGAGTATACACTTCCACTCCACAGACATAAACTGTGGTTGGAAATTTCCAACGGCTTCAGACATCGGAATCAGAAAACACGACCAAGGCGGAACTGAATCAGTTGGTGCGTCCCTCAGCTGTTGAAATGCAGGCCCAAGTTCGAATCCAGATGCAATCAGATGAACGCCGCATTGAACGGAACAAAATAATTCAGACGACAAGAAATCTGACAACAAGAGAAGGCGGGCTAGCACTGCAGCGCACAGACTCCCCCAAACCTAAGATCAAATTCCTCACGAGTCACGACCCAAAAAGAGGACAAAACCCCACAATACCTGGCTTGTGGTTGATTGGCACACACATGCAACCGTTGATAAACAGATAAAGTGCTAGGATCCTGATGGATACAATGATACAATCATGTTGGGGGGTATTCCCCTTCAAGGCTTGAACGAAAAAGGGCTGAAAACAAGAAAGCAAGGCAGCAAAAAAAAACACTATCTCCCAAACACAATAGATGCACAAGAGCCTCTAATGAGCCCAATGCTGCTCTACCCAAGGAGTGCAGATTAAGATAGTGGAAATGAGGTCTGCAATGAGCAACATTTTGCTTTCTCCGCCAAGATGGAACAAGGGATAGGAGGGGGAGGTGGGGAGGATGGGAGAAGGAGGAGAAAGTAGGGGGATGGGTTAAAAAAAAGTACGCACGAAAACGCAAGGGGTCGGGGACATTAACGGAACAAAGCACGACAGCGGACAGGGAATGCTGCTATCCTCATCTTTCGCAGAATGAGAGCCATAGGGCCATCGGTGAAGAACGAGTAGAGCCAAGCATATGTGCACGACGGAAAGGTGGAAAGGGTTACAAAATTACTGCTTGCCCCATCTTTTACAGAGTGAGATGCATTTTGGGATGGATGAAAGAGGGGTGGGGAGTAAGGATTAATTACTAATTAGCCTTCTCCTTTCTGAAGGAGAGTCGAGTTGTCTGGAAGCGGCCTAGATAGGATCCAATTAGGATGCTAGTTAGGGTGATAAAAGTATGGAGAGAGGAAGGGGCACAGGCGCATCATATCTTTGCTTCCCTGCAAATAGCCACTGTGGATGGATGGGAGGAGAAGGAGAGTGGAGGGCTTGGGTGGACGTACGTCTTTCGTGTTTCATCAATTATGCCGGTGTGAATCTTCAACCCGAAATTTCTGTGAAGTTTCGTACCAATCATGAACTGTGCTCCCAATAAATAGAGCTTCCGTGAGCAATAATGACTCTGATGAATGCTAGACCGGCAAATCTCAACAAGACCTGGCAAAGTTGGCTAACTGAATTGACTCCCGACAACAAATAACACCGCCCGGCAAAATGAAGATAAACAGTACTCGGGAAAAAAAAAAAAAAAAAAAAAAAAA